GTAATTAGTATTTTGGTGGTGAACATGATGTAATCTATGCAGAAATAGAAGTACAATGATGTACACCTGAAATTTTTACAATGTTATAAACCGATGTTACTGCAATAAACAAAAAATTAAAAAAAAAAAAAAAAGAACTAGGACAGTTTTATTCATGCATATATTCCAAAAAATACCTGGTACCTTACTTGCAGAGGGCATTTAATATTCAATTAGCTAATTAACTATATAATTAACTAATATTTAATTAACAATTAATTAACTAACATATGATCAGGATTTGTCCATTAAGTTCAATGTAGAAAACAATATAGCCCACTTTAAGTCACTCAACTCAAGTACAGTTAATTTGGTAGCTTCTTTCTTCCAGGCTCACCCTCTAGATGTTTAAGGCCTTCTCGATTACCTTTCGGTTAATAAAAGTATTAAGATAAAAACTGGAATTCTGATATTAAATTAGCATGTCTGGACATTAAAAAGTAAATCTGCCTTTAGTTATATTTGACATAAATTTGGTTTTCCATAAGCCCACAGAGTTTTTAAACAGTAGATCTCAATTTTTCTTTTGGAAGAGGGGTGTGAGGAATCACAGATCCCTTTGAAAATCTAATGATTCTCTGATTTTTAATATAAGTTTGTGGTTTACAGATTCTTGTAACTAAAGCTCAACTCTGAACCCAAATATTTGTCCTAAATAAAGAATTCTAGATGTTACATTTAGACTACTTTATCTCTGCTACAAAGACATTACAGTAAGGGAGGGAAAAGGACAAGGCAAATGATTAACAAAAGACTAGCAAAAATGTCTATAAATTACACAGAATATTACATAGTAGATCTATCATCTGATGATTGAGTTAGAACACAAAGGCTTGACAAGGCTTGAGAGATAACATCTATGTGGAGAAACTCAAAGTTCACAAATGTATCTTGCCTGGAAGGCAGAATATAAGTACCAATGAGATATTTAATATTCCTGCTCTGATTAGTTCACTAGGTATAAGAAGAAATTTACTCAGAGAAGTGAATGTGCTCTAAGGCAATCCAGACATGGCAAAAAGAAAGCCAAGAACTAGAAGCCAGGGAATAAAGGGAACTGACCACAGAAGTTAATAAAACAAGATACATCACACTTGGGCACTGTTTGTTTTAATATTTTACTGTGCATCTGCATTTCAAGGTCTGTGAGTAGAAATTCAAGACAAATGATGCACATGATATCAAGCACATGATTGTATTTCATTTTTAAGGGTAAAAAGCTGGTGAAGTGGTTGAACCAGTGCTCAAACGTATGATATCTGACTCAATCCTATACTCTTCCCACAATGCTACACTGCTCCATTAATAACTAACTCATACAAGTAAAAAGCATCTGTTCTCTGTCAATTAGTAAATTAACACAACATTAATACAGCACAGTCACAAATAACCAGGAAAATGCCAACTACTTACGCAAAAACTGGCCTAACAGCATTATTCATATTCCCAAAAGTCGCTCGACCCAGCAGTTCTCTGAAACAGTTTTCAGCCAGCACCGCAGGATTCTCTTCTTTGTCAGCTGCAGCAGGAGAAGAAGGAGGGCCAATGCGACTGAAAAGAAAAAGAAATAAAGACAAACCAATGCAAGAATTCTGCTAGTTCTAACAGTTAAACAGAACAGATCTTACTTCTCAGAAACGTTAAAATGACATTTTCTTTTATCCCAAAATATCTTTGAAAAATGACTAAGAAATAAACACAATCGAACCCTTTTTGTTGAAAAAAATGTATAGCAATAACAATCATCATTATTATTATTATTTTGGTTAGTTCTAACTCCCTATGAAAAAGCATCCTGGATCTCTAAAGAATAACAGAAGTTCAGCTATAATTTCTGTTTCTCACACTGGCGACTTGAAGTAGTGTTAATTCAAACAGCCATTTGAATGCTCAACAATAAGCAGCAAGCAGAGTGTAAATTTAACCTGACAAACAAAACCTTAAGTGCACAAGTAAGAACCTGTGGTCTGCTAAGCCTCACATGATCACTACAGAGGAATAAGTTTTTCAGAAAGTGCACGTCTAAACTCACTTAAGTTTACGAGACTACTACTTATATAATACTAAAGACAAAACCTCCTTATCCTAGCAAGCAAGCACACATACACATATACAAAAGTAACGCAGCCGCAACCCTAACATCTTTATTCAATACCTGTCAACCTCTTCTATCTTTTGCATGTTAAATAACAGGGACGGAACAATTTTATCCATATGCTGAGGTTCCCAAATGGTAGCCCGAAGTTCATCATTAACCGTTTTGCGAACCACGCCTTGAATACCTCTGATTCCAGCAATTCGGATTCTATAAAAAACAAGAAAAAATTGAATCATGAAAAAAAATTACTTCAACAAGTCTGTTTACTTAGTTAAGAGAAGGGATGCCAAATAAGTATTGTTATCTCAAGTCAATAAAAAGAAAATAACACACAATAAGTCTAAGAAATTAAAATTTCAAAAAACTAAGATGGACACAGAGATATGGCAGCTCCAAAGAGGCTTTCTTTGAACACTATGTTTTGTTAAAATCAGCATTTAAAGTTTAAAAGGACGGTAAAATATAGAAATATCTAGTCTGTGTAGTCTTTTTCAACAAAAAATGATTTAATCAAAAGAATTAGGTTTCCTTAAGAGGATGATAATTCAAACTAACATGAACTGGATTCTCTCCATTTCTTGCCCAGAAGTCTCAGAAGCTAAGAGAAAACAGGAGTTCACTGTTCCTGAACACCCTTAGTGCTTCCTCAGACTTTTCTTTCATTGTTTCTCCTTGAGATCCTCTTGCCTCCTCAGCCCACCTACACGGAAGACTAAGCTGGTTCCTTTAAAGGTATGACAAATGAGAACTACCAAAATGGAGGACTGATAACCTCAGCCGCATACACACATATACATCTATGTACTGACATATATACATTGTCACGTGACTTAAAATATCATATGTGACTTAAAATTTATCCACATTGTGCGAGAATGCTGCCCTATCCTCCCATCCCAATCCATAACCCTCAACTTCCTCAAGCTCTTCCTTCCTCTTCTTAAAAAAAAAAAAAAAAAAAAAACTACAGGTTCAAGGATGAGAAGAAAAGTAACTAGAAAACAGCATATAAAAGCTGGGGAAGAACAGTCTCCCAAGCAGAGCTAACCTGGTAGCCCATTTGCCCCAAAACACCTTCCTTCCGGTCAAATTTCATTGTTATTTACTTCCTTTTTTCTACTATTTGACATATTCACCATTAGAGGTTTATTCAGCTTACCCAGCACTGTCTTCCAAAAGCTATAAATAGGTTTAGAGAATGGGAGATATGGGGAAGGGGGTGACAATGCTTTACAAACCCATGGGGAAATAATGCAGGCACTGAGGAGCAGCAGATGGAGAGTGGCATGTGGCAGTAATATGATACTCAACAGGTGAGAAAGCGAACGAGAGACACATAGACAAATTTTGCCCTTTTCAAAGCTGTATCTACACGTGCTGCTTTCTAAAACAGAAAGACAGTCTTGAGAGACTCTCGTGCAGCTATCAAGGGTGGGCAGGCTTAACATTACTACAAAGGTAGTATCTGTAAGGCAAATATTTTAAGAAAATCTTAACAGTTATCAGCCCCATTTCCTACTGCCCATGACCCCTAAGTTCTATTTGATAGTGTACTGCTAAAAATAAAGGGATTGATAATACGTATCTAAGTTAGAACCTAAATGGGAATGTAAATACACCTGAAGAAAACCAAAAGGGCTTTTACTTAAAGGCAAAGCAGGAGAAAAATCAAACCTTCTAAGTATTTTCCCTTACTCATTTGTTTTACAGTGATTCAAATGAAATGTTGTCATTTTGGATTTCAAATATCATATAATACTGGAAAGACCTAGAACTAGGAAAAAAGTACTATACGGCTTTTCATTTGTGTATAGAAAATTTCAAGTTTCTTTTCGTAAACATTAATGAAAAATGTTAAGTGAAAATATGTGCAAAAGACAAGATCTTTCATTAGGGGGCGCTAAACACCTGAAAATAAGATACCTCACGTATAAATATAAATTTTTGAATTTCTCTCAATTTTGCTACTTCAGTTGGTTCTTCTAACAGCAATGGAAATTTTAGGGATAAAGCAAATATCTTCTTGTTTCCTTTGGTAATCATTATGTAATATATAAACACGGTATTCATCGACAAATCACTCTGACTATAAATCATAAAGTAATACATACTCTGTTCTTATTTCTGGATCACTATCACAGGAATGACACATGGCACTGAAGCGAGATACAAAAAAGTCATAACGTCTGTGATAGGACGGTGTGTCTTCTTCAATATTTGCAAATTTGACAAACTAAAAAAAATAATATAAATGTGTTATCACCTTTTTGAAAGTACAGAACAAGCACATTTACTTTCATTCATTATTTGCTACATTAACAAGAAATATCCAAATAAGAAGCAAATGAAATATACAAAATATCACAAATATCACGTATATACAAAAGGATTTCTTAAATAATGAACTTGAGAAAATCAAGGATATAGCATTATAAATATTAAATATAACTTTTTAATCCAGTTCCTTTTGAGTGAGTGAGCCCACTCTCTAGAAGGAAAGGTCTTACTATAAAGCTTTTCTACATCCTAGATGCTGACAACACTTCAGTGATAACTTTGGTTAGGCCCAGACCTCTAGGGAATTCTATTACTTAATCATGGGTAGGAAATCTTCCATGACAGCTGTTAAATAACACATGAATGAAAAAAAAATTATACAAATAAGACGGAAAAGAAAAGGGGACACAAACTGAAGGAAACATAACAAACTCAGTAGGAAGAACTAAGATGGTAAAATTTATTCTATCTCTTTTCTAATGAAAAAAAAAAGAGAGCGAGCAAGTGATCCATACGTTTAGAAAATTTTAAATAGTTTACGTGTATCACAGACCTGGCCCCTAAGATTCCTTAATATGCACTCTCTTTCCTCATTAACTTTCTCATTCATTCAGTGATTTATTACTTCTATACACTAAATAGCCTTAAGCAACAAACTGTTACGTTTACTTGCAAATTTCAATATATACAAATACCTGCCAGCATAGAGACTGACGGCTTTAAAAGGCTATATCCGAAAAACTATTCAACCAAATTTCCTGATACTCTTCTGGAAACAAAACTGAAATAAGCATAGAATAAATTTGAAGAAATCAAATGACGATACCATAAAGATTTTAAATTAATTCAGCCAGAGCTAGGCATTTGTTTTAAATTATAATTTATGATTCACATTACCTAGAAAAGGGTCACAAATACTACAGTTGGTTGAGATTAAACTGACATTCACTACTATTCTGTTCCGTACACTGTGCTTTCACATGAGTTCTTACTTAATCACTGCAACAACCCTGTCAAGAAGGTGTCATTATCCCAATTTTACAGATAGGAACACTGGAATTCAGAAGGTAAATCACTTGCCCAAAGTGACACAGTTAGTAAATGGTGAAAGTGGCATTACAGTCCAGGGCTGTGAGCAATTTTCAGGATTCCCATACTACACACTAACCCTATGAACAGTTTCAGAAAAGACTAAGTCAAATATTTATACTTCTCATAAAAATAAACTTCGAATGACAGAGGGAAATACTCAAAAAACGTAAATTAAAAAAACACACAAACGTCTACATGTTTCCCACTTTCTAATATGTATTTAAAAAAATAAAAATATTCAAGGATTACCTCTCAATATTGGAATTACAGGCATCTTTAACTTGTTTACTCTTTTATACTGTCTAGCATTTTCCAAATATGCTACAATAAACATATTACTTTTTAAATAAAAACAATTAATCAGAAATAAAAAAATCTAGCCATAAAATGTTAAATGTTCTGGAAAATTTTTAGAAAGAAAAACTTTACTCTCTTTTCATTTATTGAAAGCCACAAATAAGATTACAGTCTGAGTGATCATTTACAGAAGCAGCTTCTAGTATCCTTGAGCATAAAGAACAGAATGAAAACTGGGCAGCTATGCTCCAGAGGAATGCACAAAGCATGTCTTCCTTCCCAGTTTTATGGAAAAGCTCTTCTAATTCCCATAACTCTGGGAACTCTCTAACAAATTCTAAACCTACATACTCTGTGCTAAAATAAATAAAAGTTTTATCATACAGACTTATCACACGTAGGAGTGAAGAAAAATGTGACATAGTGCAGTGCAGAGATTACAAATGGACTCTGTTAGATGGCTCTGGATTTGGATCCTGGATTAATAACAAAATACGTAACCTCTGAAACAGAATATTTAACTTATAGGGTTGTTAAGCGGTTCAAATGAAAACCAAACGAAAGTTAGCACAATGCCTTGCACACAGTATTTACTCAAAAAAAATAAGTCTCATTTTTTTTTCACTTAATTTTTTAAATGAATTAGATATGTTTCAAAAGGTACAATAAAAGGCAGCCACAATGCAACCTTTTAGATGCAGAGTTTCTCCCCCTCAACACTATTAAAATTTGGGACCTGACAAATTCTTTGTTTGGACTGTCCTGTGTACTACATGTAGGATGTGTAGCAGTACCCCTAGCATCCTAGATACCACTAGCACTCCCCACCCTCAGTTGTGAAAATGAGAATCACTCCAGACAATGCCAAATGTTTACGGAGAAGAGAGAGTGGTGAGAATCGCCCCTGGTCGAGAATCATTGCTTTAGGGTAGTGAATGGTTTCAATGGTCCCTATGGTCAACTGTCAACAATATTCAAAGAAAAAGGTTAAGATTAGGAATGAGGCTCGAAAAAAATGAGATGGATCAAATACAAGAGGAAGAAAAAAAGGAAAGTAATCTATGCTTTCCCTAGATCTTAATTCACAGCAATGAGTATATTTATATATATTGCAAAGAACACAAGCTTTGGAATAGGAAAAACCTAGGACTGAATCTCTGTTATATACAGAATTACTTCGCTGTGTTTTTGGACAAGTTATTTAGCTTCAATTCCTTATCTGTAAAATGTGAATGATATTTCCATATGAAGTATGGATATGAATATGAAGTATAGAATATGAAATATGAAGTATCTAGCATATACTGTACTATATCTTTAAAAAAATCTAAACCAATGTTGCATAGTGTCAACATTTATTATCATTATGTATTGTTATTTATAACAGTAATTATTATATATTATCATTTATTGATATAGTACTTAACATTTTTCTTTCCTGAATCAGTGTGTATACAGGTATGCTATATTACGCTCTGTACTTTTCTGCATTTGAAATAGTTCACAATAAAAAAGGGGTAAAAATTAAAAGTGCCTAGCACAATTTCTAAAATAAAGGAAAACCTGAATAAATTCTATATACTACTCTCATAGTAGGTCAGCATTAGCACAACGAGGTAACTGTAAACAAATTAAATAAAATATGCAAAGACCATTAACAAACATGAAAGTATTAAATCAGTACCAGTCATTTTGACAATAATTTTTCAATGTATCAATTTTCAATATCTGACAATTTAGCACCATGAAGAAATTAAAATTAGATTTCCAGGGAATGCTAGATAAACAATGTTGGTCAAGATAATATAGCATTTCATTTAATACAATTCACTCAAATCGAAGTAGGTAATTGGAGAATTTGGTCTTTTGCCCAAATGACTCACTAAAGGAATCCTAATGGCATTGCTGGCTGCAAGTAAAATGTTATAAACCACTGTTACCTCACTAAAAAATTAATAATAATAATAATAAAAAGCAATAACAGATCATTGTCATGTTGACTAGAGTGCTTCAATAACAAAAAATATATATATTCTGAGGATATACACTAAAACTTTTCCCGTAGCTATTAAACCATTTTCTCTAAACTTTCCTCACCTAATTGTAAAGGAACCAGGAGAAGGGAGAAGCCTACGTAGCTACATTGCCTGAAACTGAGCCCATCACACCACCTAACTGCATTTGGAAATATCCAGTGTTTTCCTTCTGAAACAAATGGACAAAATCACATTGTTTTTTAATGAGGATATTATTTACACACTCTTGCTTTTTTTAGCATTCTACTACTACCAGTAATAATAATTAACAGGGCATTGCACTGTTCTAAGAGCTTCATATATATTAACTCATATCACACAACAATCCTATGAGATTGGTACTATTATCCTCATTTCACAGACGAAAAGCTGAGGCAAGAAGAGGTAAAATAACTTGTTAAGATACACAGCTAGAAAGCGGTGCAGGCATAACTCAAACGAGGGCAACTGGACTCTGGAATCCATGTTGTCAGTCACCACCTATCCTTCCTATCCCTATACCATAAAATAATTATCCATAAACAACAACAGATGACATATGATTCTGTTAATTGTTGATAAAAATCTGGATGGGAACATACAGATTGGCTGAATGCCTAAAAGCTTCCTCAGAGATGAAGCTGGAACTGAAAAACTGAAGGCGATACAACGAAACTAAAGACAAAAGAAGAAAGGTTATCACTGTGTATTTTATTTTCCTTTTCAGATATGCCTGCCCCAACCCCACATATGTTTCACAAACTATGCTTCAGGATAGAAGAAAATAAATGTGGTAAGCAGAAATAGTTCAGAAGTAGCATAAGAAGACATAGGGAAATAAACCCTTACTTTTACGGCCACTCGATTTTCTGTTGTTCCTCAAGACTGGTTAATATCACAGATCTCACATGGAGCATTCGAGAAAGCTAGACACAAAGTGTTTTAATCGCCTGCATCTGGACTGGCTGTCCAAACACCTGACCAGAGCATTTGCCTTTACCAGGTAAAGACACTCTAAGAACAGATTCATTCTAGATACGCTAATTAAACCTAAAATTAGTTAGAGAATAGTTTTACTCACAGAATTTGTCCCAAGAACTTGAAGCTTTGGTTCCCCTGATTCCAGCAGCTTTGCTACCATATGAAGAAAGCTTTCTACAAATGGTTTGATGCTTTGAGAATGGCAAGCCATAAGAAGTTGGTCCAGTGCCTCCATAGCAATTAAAACATACCTAAGTATAAGAGAAAAATAGTATCAAAGCATTTCTAGCTCTCTTAATTCTCCTAAGTGCTTTTCATTGGAAAAATTAAAATAAGTTTATTCAAATGCGCAGAACATAGAAAGGCAAATTTAATAGCTTGAAAGTGAAATCTTAATTCTCACACAGCACTAATGGATCTCAGATTATGAAATAATCCTCATGTTGAAGTATATAAAAACTATACTGTACTAAATTTTTTCCTTCTTACAAAAAACTCTTTCAGAGCTTCTTTAACATTACTTTTGTGTATATCTTGCTTTGTAAACATGCACATTTTCTATTTTCCAGACTTTTAACCATATTTCTTTGTATTTGACCCAAAATAGTTATTTTTAGCAATGTGCCTAAATTTCCAACACAATCTATTTGTATTTGTAAACATGAATATATAAAACAGTACCAGCAACAACAGAATAAGGAAATGTCTCGTCAATTTTACAATTTATCAGATTTTACAGCTTGTACTAAAAATTAAAATTCAGACTTCAGATAACTTTGCTTCACTAATCAGCTATAAAAGTATTTGTGTCAAGACTCACTAAAATGTGAAAGTAGAGAAAGCTAGTGTATCATCTGGAGAATGTAATAGTCTAAGAAACTAGGATCATAAGATCACAGTATGGGAAAGTATTTATAACCCAAATTATCCAAGTTATTACTCTTCAAGCAGAGAATGGATTAAGATGGTAGATCTTTATTTGTAGGCAGGTGTATCACTAGCACAGTTTCAAATCAGCATACTTACATCTTCTGAACCTTAATATCTAAGCCTAACATAGTTCTTTTTTATTATTCCTCTGATACGTAAAACTGAAACTGAGTTAAAAATCAGTTGGTTAACAGGATCTTTCAAGTTGTTTTCAATTTAGAAATTGATTTTTAAATTACAGTATTGTCCTGATAAAGTAAGGGCATCAATTTCTACTATTTCCATTAGAGAAGTCTCAAAAATTAATGGATGCTTAAGCTAAAAGCAACTCTGTTAACTAACATAGTCTGTTCTTAAAACTTGACCACCAGGAAAGTAATAAAAGCTACAGCACCTATACCGTACTACACATTTCCTTGTATAATATTACCATGTTTTATCCTCCCTATATATCTTTGCCTGACTAGATGGCAAAATAATTTATAGGATGATTTAGCCTAGGAGTAATTTTCCAAAGATACTGTACGAGCAGCAATTAGTTTCCTTACCCAGTACGATGTCTGACAACATCCCTGCTCAACCTTTCTGCCAGGTAAGAACCAATGCGATCCAGTTTCTCTGGAGCAGACACTGCATAAAATGTCAATTTCTCCATATCAGCTTTAACAAGGCCATCCTAAAATAAGAAGAAAAATAGCAAGCTAAATAGGTTGTTATATTTATATCTATATTTTCATGCTTATTTTTTGTATTTCTAAGTGTTGCTTGCTTCACATTTCCCCTTTTTGGATTGATGATTAATCCATATTTAGGCTGAATCTTCCTGGATATAACCTCCTTACTGCTAATATTCAGCATTCTGGATACATAAAATTTTCAGGAAGTTAAAGATATGCCCCATTTAGGCAAAGCTTTTAAATATACCTCCATAAGCAATGAACTATTGTAATACCTTCCTTGATAGAGAAAGAGCTCAATTAACTGCAGTATGTAGAGAATGAGATATATTTTAGTGTAAAGATTTCAAACAAAATTTGTTTCAGTTTAAAAATTTTAAATGTTATATTGTTAAGCCTATTTTACTCCTTTACATATACAACAGTGAACATATTTTTTTTAATGATTCAGAATTGGCTGTCATTATAGTTTTGTTGTAATTAATGAGAAAGTATTAAGAACTATAGGAATTAATGCTGAGCTAATGTATTAAAAAAGCAACAACAGGTCCCTGACATGGGATTATCCACTGTCGTCTGTCTCTCTCTTCTAAAAGGTGACATGCAATGGGTCTAATGATTCTCCCCACCCTCATACACCCACCAGGCAATCATCACTCTAAATTTCTTGGTCATCTATAGTCCAAGTAACTAAATGCTGTTTAGCATTATTAGAAGAAGTGAGAAAAGAGACAGAAAAACTATGTTAGATGGTGACTCAACAACCAAAAATCTTATAAATTTGTGTTTTCAACTTCAACTGGCCCCTCAATGTTCTTTGGCTATTCTGCCATTTCTCTAGTGGAGTCAACCCCTCATATTCTGCACCTACTCCATTTGCCTCTTACCTGCTACTTTGCCACCTCTCTTCCTCTCTGACATCAAATGAGCTCTTCTCTTCCTTCTCAGAGAAGATGGAAGCCATCAGATTACAATTTACTGGCAAAAACACCCCACTCTCTCACTACCTTCTAGAGCACTGGTTCTCAACCAGGGGTGACTTCATCCCCCAGGGCAATGTCTGAAGACATTTTGGGTTGTCACAGCTGTAGGAACGGATATACTGGCATCTAGTGGTAGAGGCCTAAGATACCAATAAACATCCCACAATGCACAGAATAGCCCCAACAGCAAGGAATCATCTGGATCAAATGTCAATAGAACCTAAATTAAGAAACCATGCCCTAGGCAAAGTGAAAGAGCCCTGTCTTTTCTGTCTAGGAGGAACTGATCTGCCTGTGCTCTCGTTGTCTTCTTCACAAGGCCCAGGATCTGGCTCCATCAATTAGCCTCTCTCATGCCTGGTTCTTTGACATCTCCCTCTGTGTTGGTTTCTCCACATCAATACTTAAATACAGTTGTATCACATCCACTCTTTTTTCCTTCCTTAATAATTTTATTGAGGAATAACTGATATACAATAAACTGCACCCAAGTATACATAATTTGAAATGTGACAGTTTATGTATCCGTGAAACAAACTAACACCACCACTAACAAACAAGATATAGAACACTTCCATCATCTGCAAAAGATTCCTCATGTCCTTTGCAGTCCATCCCTCCCTCTTCAGGCAACGACTGCTCTGCTTTTCATCACTATAAATCAGCATGCATAGTGTAATCATACGGTTTGACTACTTTCACTCAGCTCACCTCTTTGCCTGGGAACTCTTCTCTAGTTCACCTGGATAACTCCTACTTGTCTTTCAGGTCTCAGCATCCTCCAAAAAGCTTTCAACGCGCCCTCCAAACATCCTTCCCAAGTCTGGGTGAGATGTTCCTCCTCCATGTTTTCTTAGCTCACAGCACTTCTCTCTACTATTGTATTTTGTCATACTGTTTTTTCATTCGTTAAACAAATTGCACTCAATCGAGTGCTAACCACGTGCCAGGCACTGTGGTAAACACTAGGGAAGCATCAGCAAGCAAAGAATTGTATTCACTAACTTCATCCTCATGAACATCCTTATGAAATAGGTGCTATTTATAATTTCCATTTCATGATGAGAAACTCAGGGACTTGCCCAAGATCAAAGGTTTAGTCACTTGTCCCTCTCACTAGATTGCTCTTTGAGAGCAGGGACGACAACATGTAGACTTCTGCACTCTGGGCACCTACTGTCAGACACATTTTGGATATACTACAAGATTTTTTTGCTTGTTTAATAAATTAAAAATAAGAAATATGGTCAACTGGGTTATGGTTGCCATATGAATGTAAGATTAATGTAAATCTTTTCTTTTCTTTAATCTTATTTTACATATTGCTATTTAAATAAATCTTATCTAAATACATCACAAAAATAAAGACCCTTTCTGTAACCATTCTCTAACTTACCTGTCATCATTCCCATGATCAAGAGTATTCAAAGCTCTCTCACTGCCTACAAGTTACAGCAGATAAAGTATACGCCTTGTCTATCATTTATATTCCCCATAATATGGCCTCCACCTTATCTCCAGTAACTGTACATCCCAGATTCCTCAGAGAAATGATTTGAACATTTAGTCTATTAAATGATATGTCTGGGGCGGGCCCTGTGGCTTAGCAGTTAAGTGCGCACGCTCCGCTGCTGGCGGCCCGGGTTCGGATCCCGGGCGTGCACCGACGCACTGCTTATCCAGCCATGCTGAGGTCGTGTCCCACATGCAGCAACTAGAAGGATGTGCAGCTATGACATGCAGCTATCTACTGGGGCTTTGGGGGGAAAATAAATAAATAAATAAAATTAAAAAAAATAAAAATAAATAAATGATATGTCTGAAATTTCAAATCAGAAATCGTGGTCAACACAATTACCACCCATTACACACTATAATTAGGCTACACAAACCTTCATTTGAAGGTTCTTGATCTCACTGTATCTCTTGCTTTGCCATGCCTTTTCTCTTGCTGGCCCCTCACTTCTAAAGAAGAGACCAATCTCTACTTCTCCAGATGGTATACATCCTTCAAAGCTCAGAAAATCTCATTTCCTCTAAGAATGCTTCCCAGAGATTGCCAACCCACAGTGATACCTCCTTGCTTTAAAGGCAAAAACTTTACCACCTGTTTCACTTAACATTGATTTACTGATTTATGCGCTGTGATTTAATATTCACTATGCTTCTGCTTTGTCATCAATGGATGGAAAGCTCCTTAAAGGCAGGTACCATATCTTAGGGTTTTTTATATGCCACAAATTATCCAGGATATCTGATTTAACTGATTATCCTCCTCTAAATAGCTGAATATTTAAATCAGATTTGATTAAAAATGAGTTATATCCCATAAAATCATGAGATATACAAGTTGTTAAGATAACCAAAAGGTTTCTATATTTGGCTACATTTTAAAGATTTTTATTTATTTTATTTTTTCCCCCCAAAGCCCCAGTAGACAGCTGTATGTCACAGCTGCACATCCCTCTAGTTGCTGCATGTGGGACTCGGCCTCAGGATGGACGGAGAAGTGGTGCCTCGATGCGCACCCGGGATCCGAACCCGGGCCACCAGCATTGCAGCGCGCGCACTTAACCACCAAGCCACAGGGCCGGCCCATGGCTACATTTTAAAATAAAGCAAATTCTGGAAATCAAACCCATGTAACATATTTTTTGTTCATATCCATTCAACACTAAAGGAGTCAGAAAATTTAAGACAGCGTCAAACAAAATCATTCAAACTCAGTTGCTTTGAAACCAGTAATCTTCCACAATAAAGTAACTTTTATGAAAAATTAAAAAACATTTAAGTAAAAAGAGAACAAACCCTGCCTGGAATATTCTTCGTTTACTTACTTCTCAATTTTTTTCTAAAAACTATGTGGCCACCTCTATTTATTCTTTGGATCTTAGCTTAGATTTCATTTCCTTCAGGCCTTTCTTCTCCCAAGCCCAAACCAGGTATCATTCCAACCTACTCCAAAGGCCAATTTATTTGTCTATGAGCTTGGTGAGAGTAGAAAACCATGCCTGTGTTCACAGTTGTATTCTTAGCATTTCGTAAAAATAATCTGGCACTAGTTTATAAATTTTTGATGAGCTCCTATTCCTTAAATCTAAGAACTATATAGACAAAATAACATCATCTATACATCATTCCAAATTTATGCGTAATCTATGAAAAGGATATGAAAATTAGACAAGCAAGCATGGGTCCTATAAAGTAAAAAAAGAGAAGTGTAAAAACAGCAGCGTACGTGATGAGATTTAGGGGTAAAAGTAGAGAAATGAAATCAGGAAAACCTTAAGGAGGTCAGCAGTGGGGAAGGATGGGTCAGCAAAAAGAAGGATCAGTAGATGTAGATCAAATTACTTTTGGATCTTCAGGGAATATGTTGTCCACCAGGCGTTTGTAGCGAGGACGCAAAGCGGAACAGCAGCAATACACTCCTGTTCAAAAAAGAACAAAATCACAAAGTACAGAGATTATTCATGATGTAATTGACTTAGAGATTCAGGTTTCTGAATATTATGGGTTATTTAAAATAAAGGGAAAAGTTTCAAACTGCCACAAAGAGAAAAAGGCATGCAAATCCAATTACTGATTAAGAAATGAAAAAGTTAAATTTCTTCTCCCCTCCCCAAAGACCCCAGTTCAAAATGAATATACTAAAGAATTATTCCAAAGTTCCAAACCAAATTGTTGTGGGTCATACACACATAACACCCCTACCAAATTCATTGCTATAAAGCAAATACACAATCCATATCCCTCTTTACCCTCCTTTCTGATCTCATCTCCCACTACTCTCTGCATCCCCCTGACCCCACCTTCCCCCACTCCCTACTCCCCCTGCCTAACCAAATCCACTCAGCTCTAGCCACAATGGTCTTAAAGTGACAGTGTGCTCCTAGTGCAGCTGGTGAAAACAGTCAATACACGTATCTACATAATGCATCATATAAGGAACTACAATAGAGGGGGAAACAACCTCAAAGGAAAGTCCAAGAATTTCAAAAATGCCCTAAGGCTGCTCTCTATATTTTCAGTTGTTGGTATCTTGGAAAGAGCAAGGAATTTAGATCCAGAAGACCTGGGTTCATTGCAGTTCTTTCACTTAAGGGGCTACACGACCTCAGGTAAGGCACATCTGCTATCTGGAAAGAACCATATAAGCGGGAGGGATCAGTTTTCTTGTCTTGCAAACTACTAACTTAATAAGAATGTTAGTCTTAAGCCATTACAAAATCATTCCCATGAGTTACGAAACTGGGGTATACGTGTCTCTGTGAAAGTGTGCATTTGTATGTATTTAGAAACCAAAATATGGTATGAGAGAACACTTGAGCTAGAAGTTAAGAGAACTGAGATCTAAGCAGACTTCTGCTACTATCTTATCGAGTAACGTTACACAAGAGACAACTTCTCCAGATCTCACTTGGCTCATGAAGTATGCATCCTTCATGCATGTAGTCATATACCAAATGTCAACAGTGCCTAGCATAGGTCTAAACAAATAAAATCGAGTCCAGATTTGCAGTAGAGAAGAACCATTAAACACAGACATTAACACATAAACACAAAACACAGAATTAAGATTTGTACAGCATCTTTAGTGATCATAAAGCACTGTGATATTTCCAGCAAACTAGAGAAGTATTATCATTACCACTTTACAGGAGTGGGAACTGTAGCAGAACTGACCAAGTAACTCCCCCAACAGTAATGGCTGGGTGAGAATCCAGTGTCTAACTCCGAAACCCCATGCTCTTTCCACAACACCATAGATATTAATTAGGTCAACTCAATCAATATCCAAATATTTCATCTGCACCTACTATGTGCCTAACACCATGCTAGACACCACTTTTACAAGAAAGTTATAAAAGAGACAAGATCCCTGTCCTTGAGGAGTTTATAAACTGGTATAAAAAAATAGTGAATAATTCAGCAGTATATACTTAGATACCATATACTGATAAAATAAAACACTATCCATTGTTCAGGATGTTTTGTACTTTAATAGAAGGAAAAAAAATTCTGAAGGGTCCATCAGAGGATTGTTCAGAAACACCAAAATATCTGAAACTCTTTTAGAGTCCAAAGGAAAATGAAGGTCTGATTATTAGAAAGAAAAAAAAAAAAAAGAGGTTAACAGCCAAGTAAGCAAAAGTCATATTTCTTGTATCTACTACACCTAATACAAAAATACTTCAGATCAACATTAATACACTGAAATAATTTAAAATCAAATACGCATTGAGTGGTTAACTTATACAGGGCACTGAGCTAGGTACTGTAGTGACGACAGAAGCGCGTAACTTGATAAGAAGATTAAGATGAATACTTTGCTAACAGTAATGCAAGGCCAAATATAAATACAGTAAATTCAAACTGCTATCAGGGCAAAGAGACTGGCGGTGGGACTGGAAAACAAGTCTCAATGCTTCAAGTTTCCCATCAGAAGGGTAAATTATGTTATTTTCAACAGGTGAGAGAGGATTCTTAATGAACTATTAAGTTTCACTTACACTGACACTTTCTGACATTATACATTGCTTTTAGTTTAAAGAGGCCTCAAAAAAAACAAAAAGGGAAAGGGAACTTGGAACTTGGAATACACACAACATCCAGTTCCTACTTTCAGGAAGCTTAGGTCTAATGGGGAAGATGGATGAGTAAAAAAGGCAAAATGCCAAACAGGCAGCATGGGGTTAAAGGGCAGGGGCTTTGGAGTCAGACAAACCTGGGCTGAATCCAAGGTCTCTCACTGTCCAGCTCAGTGGGCAGGTTACCTTCTCCTACTTCACCTATGTTTCCTCATCAGTTAAAAAGATATAATAATGTCTTCTTCATATTTATCAAGAAAATTAAATAAAATTGTATGTAAAGTTCTTATTAAGGGTATAATGTACAATAAGCATTCAATAAAATGGTAGCTATTATTAGTACCACAGAAAGAGAAGTACTACAATTAGGGTAAGCAGAAGGTACTCGAGGGCCCTTGAGGCAGTATTCCAAACAGTGTGAAAGACTTTGTTGTAAACTAATCATCTAAAAAATCACAACAATTTTATATATGGTTCACAAGCTTTCAATAACAATATCAGTACCAGTTAGGGTAACTGCCATTTTCCGAACATTACGTGGGCAGCACTATCCTACATACTTCACAACATCATTCATTTACTTCTTCAGCAACTCTCTGAGGTGGTTATCATCATCTCTGTTTGATAAACGAGGAACCAGGGGCTTAGGGAGGTCCATTTGTCCCACAGCTGGTAAAGAGGGGATCTGAGATTCCAACCCAAATCTGATGACTTCAAAGAGTAATTGCCACACTAAATTCAAGTACTAGACAATTTCTAAATTACTTTAAACATTTTAGCTTTCCATAAACCATGACCCATGAACATGACTGCAGAAATGAGTCTGACTAAGAGCTGAGGAATGCATGGCCATGTAAGGAAATAAATGATCACAGTGAGGGCCGACCCCATGGCTTAGCGGTTAAGTGTGCGTGCTCCGCTACTGGCAGCCCGGGGTTTGGATCCCGGGCGCGCACCGACGCACCACTTCTCCGGCCATGCTGAGGCCGTGTCCCACATACAGCAACTAGAAGGATGTGCAACTATGACATACAACTATCTACTGGGGCTTTGGGGAAAAAAAGGAGGAGGATTGGCAATAGACGTTAGCTCAGAGCCAGTCTTCCTCAGCAAAAAAGAGGAGGATTAGCATGGATGTTAGCTCAGGGCTGATCTTCCTCACAAAAAAAAATAAATAAATACTAAAAAAAAATGATCACAGTGAGTTTCTCCAGAAGGCCCAAAATGAAACAAAACACAAACTTCTTGACCATTTACTATAAATGAAAAGCTACCAACTGTAGAGAAGATACATGAAACCAGGTTTATCTTAATAAATTAAGAAATCTTAATTTACTCAGGTTTCTATAAAATGGTAACATATTGAAGATAATATAAGGTTAAAATGACTATGGCAATAGTAATCACAAATGAAATAACTGTATCGATTATTTTAAAGAGAGAATATTGTACTTACAAATATCACAAGAACAAGTAAAATGAAATCACTGGACCTACTCAGGCATAGTAATGTGGTTGACTCCCTCGTCGAAGTCAATTCATAAGGCTTTTCGAGTTCAGCTGCAGGTACCTGAACATAGTCTTTCATGTTGTAACAGACTATTTTCTAGTCGATCTTCCTGCTTCTAGATCCTTTTACCTACTGTTCAGGAAGCGCCTAGTTCACTTTACTTGTAAGTAATTAGCAAAGGGTACTAATGTACTGTAACTTATCTACCTTGTTGTTGACATCAAATATAAAGCTATCAATAACTTGATAATATCCATATCAAATTCTGCTGGCAAAGCCAAACAGCTTAAACAAGACACCACTAAAGTACTTGTATTGCTAGTTTAATAAAAGTAGAGTTTCATACAGTCTAAATAAGAAAATAAACCTATTTATATATTTTTCCTTAAAGCATTCCTTTAATTCCTCCTCATCCTAGCTGCTGATCCCTTCCAACCAACTCCTCACTTGAGCTGCAATACTACTGTATTTTTGACCTCTTCCCAACTTTCTCTTCTCAAAAGGAAGAAGGGCTAAGCGTATCACAGAAAGCCTCAAGCAACTGGCAGGCCTGAGCAATGAGAATCCTTCCTTTAAATTTACTTCTAAAAAAAAATAAAAATAAAAAAAATAAAAAAATAAAAATAAATTTACCTCTAGTACATAAAGAAGAAGGTAATCCACTATACTTCTCCTGTAGCATGTGGAACTCAGAACCCCGTTTATGATATACTAGGAGAAGAAACAGGAAGTCTCAAGTGGGATAGCTAAACTATGGGAAAATGGAACTGGGGCAAAGTAGGAAAAAGAGAAATTACGACCAAAAAAAAAAGTGCCAGGCTGTATATTATAGTAGTGTACAGACAGGCTTGTAGAGCAACCTGTTCAATAAGGCTCTCTGAGCCTTAGCTGGCAAAGAGTAAAATCCTTCTACCTACTTCTCAGGGTTAGGAGTACTAAATTAATATAAAAAGTGCCTGGAATGTAGAAGTCTCTTAAAAACATGTAATATATATATATATTTCAGCAAGTTTTCCATATTCCTCAATTAACCATTACTTCTTTAAAAACACTCCAAGACAATTTTCTCTCCTTAGCTCCCCTAACATCATCATTGGTGTATTCACCAATGTCTCCTAGTCCTCACCTCACACAAGTGTGAGATGTATCGACCTCTAGCATTCTCCTTCTTTGATGGTGAGGTGTTAGAATTAATTTCCAACCCGTCCTGACCCAAAGAGGAGTTCACAGAAGGACTTGAGCAGCTGCACAGAAAACCTCACAGCTGAACTGACAGTAGTATGGATCAGGCGCGTGGCCACACAAAGGTGCTGGGAGAATTCTGCTCAAT